CTGGCGTTTATAGAGAGGCATTGGTGTAGTAAGGGTGTTTTGGTAGGGTCTTGGCAAAAGTGTCCGACTCGCCCGTGTGTCTGACTCGCCCGTGGGGTACGTTAAGAGAAAATTGCATAAGAGAAAGCAGATTTAGCATAGTAGCACACTTAAGTATAGCCTAGCAGCATCGCAGGTAGCTGCTAAGGCGTCTGTAGCAGCTTAGCTATCTAAGAAGACTTAGGGTAGAGGTAGTTAACTAGGAGCTTGATTAACTATTTAGTGTTGTAGGAACTGCAGCAAGACTAGACATAATACACAAACATGCTAGGAGGGTGTAGAAACATCTTCTAAATCTAATACAAGCACGCAGTATGCTAGGTTACTATTTAATAGTAAGTAGTTATAGTTATAGTGTAACAACGCTCTACGAACAGTGACCCGATACCACTAGGATACGGCTCTAGCGACTCATGACTATGGCCCTTGTTGCATAGCATAAGCTCACACTAAACTGCCACCAAACCCTTATATATAAGGAGCAAGGAACTGTAGCATTATAGATTAGTTTTTCTGTATCCTTTTATACAAGACCTATAGGTGTAGAGATTATATCCTAGTGTTCTTATTATCCTAGCACTCCCATATGCCTCGTAGCGGACTCACACCTATTCCGGATATCTCTCTTCTTGCCTGCGTCGTTACATATAGTAACTTGTGTTAGTTATGCTAAGAGAAAATGGCTAGTTTAGTGATAACGTAGATTATCACCGAGCCAGCCATATCACCAAACTAGCCACTTTCTCTTAGCACAACCACCTTTTACCCTAACACAACATGCCTTAACAATAACAACTTTAGAATACTACTAGAGAAGGTAGAGTTATCCTTGCTATCTAGGCCTTCTATGCTAGCTAATTTCATAGTATCTATAGCGCTATTAGAGCGTTAAACGTACCTTACTAGCAGGTCTCTAATTACCTTTACAATATTATATTTTAACTAGACATATATACTAATTGCTAGAAACTTACTATACTAGAGGAGCAGACAATTATCTAGTATATACTTAACCTTAATTTATAAGGATTTACACCTAAGCTATATAAGGTGGCAGATATAGCTAATAAGATACTTAGTGTGCGTAGTGAAGAGCCTGTTAGTAAACTATAGGCTAGCAGGCTTGTAACACATTTAGACAAGCTTAAAATAGCCTTTAATTAAGCTAAGGATAGATAGAGGATACTATAGGAAGATCCTAAGATAATTAGCGTGTAGTTTAAGCTAGTAGAGGATACTTAAGTTAAGTATAGTGTTTGTAACAATAATATACATAACTTTAATAAAACTAGGTTCTAGATAGGTGTTGCTTTGTCTTTAAAGGTTGTAACAGGCTTAGAGAGACGTGCTCGGCCAGAGCTTGTTCAGCCAGGTGATCGCGAGTAGGTTACCGTTATCCAGAGCATCTGCGCCGCTAGGTATGCAACCCCGCCTTTCATCATCTACAAAGGACGCGTCCACATCTCTGCCTAGTATAAGGAGACAGATATACCCTATAATTAGAAGCTCTTAGTCTCTAAGAATAGTTAGATAAACAACATACTTAGCCTTAAGTAGTTAAAGCACTTTAACACGTATATAAAGACGCATTAGGTAGGAGTGTATAGGTTACTTATCTTAGACAGCTATAAGAGCTATCTTAACTAGGAGTTTAAGGACTATTGCCTAGAGAACTAAATCCTTACTCTCTGCATACTACCTTACTTATTACACATCCTCTAGCTACTTAATGTAGTCTATTTCTTGCTATTAAAGTGTAAGTACTCCTAACATGTTTAAGACTTAGCATGCTAACGCGTCTTCTATATTAATAAGGAAGGCTTCCTACTAGCCTTTAGGGACGTGTTCCTTAATATATTTACAAAGGTTAACTGCTAAAAGGCCTTTAAGGTATTAGGGCTTGTTCCTACTAATACGTAGGTAGTGTTAGATTGCCTTAAAGTGTAGCTGCATACCCTACTAGCAGTACCTCTACCTAAAACACTGTAGCAATCTAAGACACTAAGCAATACACACAAGTTTAGGTCTTAATCTAAGCTTGTAAGTAACTCCTTCTAACAATTACTAAGTGCAGTGCAAGAGGGGTTCTTAAAGCTTGTAAAAGGGGCTAAAGAGATGCTGCACAAAAACGTCCTTATTAAGGCCCACGTGTGAGAGCTTGAAGAGCAATTAGCAGTAATAACTAAGAGAAAATCGCGTAAGAGAAAGCAGATTTAGCATGGTAGCACACTTAAGTATGGCCCAGCAGCATCGCGGGTAGCTGCTGAGGCGTGTGTAGCAGCTCAGCCATCTAAGAAGACTTGGGGTGGAGGTAGTCAACTAGGAGCTTAGTTAACTGTTCAGCGCTGTAGGAACTGCAGCAAAACTAAACACAACGCACAAACGTGCTAGGAGGGTGCAGAAACATCTTCTAAATCTAATGCAAGCACATAGTATGCTAGGTCACTGTTTAATAGTGAGTAGTTGTAGTTGCAGTAACTTGTGTTAGTCGTGCTAAGAGAAAATGGCCGGTTCGGTGATATGGCCGGCTCGGTGATAATCTACGTTATTGCTTAGGGTTTGCAACTGCTAGGGCTTATTGCTAGGGAGTAATAGTAATAGAGTACGTAGCTAGACATTAAGCGCTATTATAACCTATTCTAGGTTAAATAGGACTAATCTAGCGCCTTAAAACCCTCCTTAGATATTACTAGGAGTAATTGCTGCATTATAGGCGCGTATAAAGCATAGTAAGAACTTAAGCTTTGTAATGTAGGTAATCTAGTTGCGCATAAGATTCTTAGCTTAGCAGCTATATGCTGTCTTTAAAGGCGAGAAACACCCCACATCAAGAGGCTGCAGGAGGTGTGATAAGTGTAGAGGCATGCAGATAGTAATAATCTTGTTCTCCTTGCAGTATTCCTAGAAAGTAAGTAAGTTATAGCTCTTATAGCTGTTAATTGCAAGCAGTTAGTAGCTGCTAACTACTCTCTTCTTTGTATGCTTATTAAAGTGCTTCAACTACTGCAGGCTAAGCTTATTTGTTGTCTAGCTGTTCTTAGATACTGCAATAACCTAATTGTGAGGTAGATCCCCCTCCTTATACTAGGCAGAGAGGTGATGGCGGCCCTTAAAGATAATAAAGGGTAGAATAGCCTACCCTGTTGCGTTGATGCCCTAGATAACTGTTGTCCACTCTCTATTGCCTTGCTACACTACCTTTAGCTGTCCTCGTCTCTCTAAAGCTGTAACAACTAAACTAGTAGATATCTAGCCTATTATAAAGCTAGCCTTGTTAAAGTTAAATGTATCTTTATCTAGGATGCTGTACTTAGCTTTAATGTTAGCTGCTAGGCTAAACTAGCCTTGTATAATCTTAGGATCCTTACAGAGGGCTCTCTTGTAGTTATATTTGCGATTAAACTTTGTTGTGAGCTTAGGGCGGCCTTTGACAAACGTACTGGGCCAGTTTAAGCCAACTTGGCCCATATTGCGCTCTGCGCGCAAAGAATTGGCCATATCAGCCACTAGGCTGGCGGATGGGTAGGGTATGCTTTTTTACGTTTT